GGGCAGTGACAGAGCTAGACTCAGAGCCAGATCTGGCTGGCTCCAGGGCTTGTGCTCCCACATGCTTTGATTTATCCCATAACCAGAGTCAAAAACCGGCTTTCCTCCCCAAGACACCTCAGTGGGGCACATCACAGGACTACACTCTGCTACTGACCACTGCCATTCAATATAGGTCCTCATCTCTTCACAAATACCAGTGCAGAAGGACATGCCTTCCCTTCAACCAGCCCCCAGGGAGCGTGTCCACGTCTTCAAAGGGCCCAATGCTCACTTCTCTATAAAGACATCCAACTCAGCGCATGTGCCAGCACGTCAGATAGGGGAGAAAAGGCCACTGGTACAAACAGAATTTTAGATTTTCCAGTGAAAAGCCACTTGACTCCAGAGGGCTATTTTTTTTTTTTTCTTAAAAAAATTTTTTTTTCCTGATGCCTGTTCTGGATATGTGGAGAAATGTGTAAGTAAGTGACATCCTGAAAGGATGAAGCAAACATGACCACATCTGAAGGCTGGTAATTTAAGACAGGTACTGCTTTCCTATAGACAGCATTTCTTTTAGTTTTCTTCCAAAAAAAAAAAAAATGTTTTAAACTCTTAGTCTAAATTATTTTCTCTAAAAAAGCTTTCAAGATAGGGCTAGTCACATTCCATTCCTATCCCCATGACTTGATAATTTCTACCATGTAAAAGACATTCCCAAATGATGTGGAATCAGTCTAAAATTAACACACTAATGATAATTCATGCAAAAGTATATGTTAGTAGCATTGTAATGAACCAATAAATATTTATTGCTTGAAAATATGAGATTAGGGAATTGCTTCTTTTATGGGAAACCACTCAAAAGATAGTCTTGAGCTGTTACAATTATTAGATTAACCATTTTTTTGTTAACTTTAAATTTCAAGGCTAAATTTTCCATAAAGTTAAAATGCTACAAAAATGTATTTATCATGAAATTAGAACAATGAAGGAATATGTCAATAAATGTAGAATCAATATAGTCAGGCCTGAATAAAAATGTAATAGCTGTTGTCACATAAAATAGTACCACAAAATATTCCTAAAATGTCAAAATTGTCACTTGGAAAAATTTCAAGTTGTGTGAGGTGAAGACTCAATTCACTTTTATAATAAAAATATTATACAAGGAAGAATTACACATATTTTCTAGAGAAAGGCTCATTAGAAATAAAACGAACTTCTGGGACACGAGTTACATCTCTGTAATTCTGCAGCAAAAGACTCTTCCCTCCAAACAGGATGCACTGAGTGTTTAACACATTAATTATCATCCTTCATCAAGCATAAAACTAACAGTCAGGAAATACAGCTGCAATAGCACAATTATCAACACACTCAGACTACGCCCCACAGCAAAGAAAGCAAATGGGTTGCTTTTCAATAACAGAGCTTGGCACACCTCCCCAAAGACAATGTTTTCTTTCCAGCCAGCATCCCAAAAGGCATTTAAGGGGCTATTTGCTTAGGTAAATCCAAAGAACAAGTAAACCATGAAAATATTTAATTAAATTTCAAAATATTCATTATTGATATACAGTGCCACTCATATATATACATATGTGTGTACACATATGTATACCTATATGTATTGAAAGATGATTTGATCAAGCCAAAATCTTTTATATAAAAGACTTGGATTTTTAAAACATTATTAGTGCAAGAGGGTTGGTAAGTAAGGTTATAGTCCATGCTTGACTGTGATACATAAGGTATTCATGGTTGTCATTCTCATAGTTTGTGGCATACAATACGATATGCAACGTGCCTCCATCTGTGCAGTAATGGGCTGGGTGATAACAGTGTTCTATGACACGGGTTTGAGTCCATATAAAGAAAGTAATTAGCTACTAGCTTCAGATTCTAATATAACATGTCATCACTGAAAGCCTAGAGGAATAGCGTTCTAAAGAGATAATAAAAGCATAGTTTATTTGGTTTACTTCTGGACACTTAACATCCTTAACATTATTATAATCTTATTACACCTTAACAGATGTATTATTACTCCTACCGAATTTATATTACAACTGAACTATAAACTGTTACTTAAACCATAATTTAAGGAAGGCTTGGGGGATGTAAAAGGCAATGGGTAGGGACTTCCCTGGTGGCGCAGTGGTTGAGAGTCCGCCTGCTGATGCAGGGGACACGGGTTCGTGCCCCGGTCCGGGAGGATCCCATATGCCGCGGAGCGGCTGGGCCCGTGAGCCATGGCCGCTGGGCCTGCGCATCCAGAGCCTGTGCTCCGCAACCGGAGAGGCCACAACAGTGAGAGGCCCACGTACCGCAAAAAAAAAAAAAAGGCAGTGGGCAATCATCTGCCCCAAATATGTGGAATTATACCTGAAGCACTGCCATCAAACTTTCACTAAATTCTCTGCCCAGAAAGCCTCTAGCATAATCAGCTTGGTCCTCTATGCAGGAAAAACATCACAGCAAAATTTAAGGAGTCATGTTTTCCTCAGCACAGAAGGCCAGGGATACACATAGGATTCTTCTATGCTTGTGGCACAACTTCAATTTCATGATTTTATACTGTACTTTATCAATTAACTCAAATCTGAACCTCTTTAAAACTGTATCTGAGATAGGCATTATCTCATCTTCCATCTGGCCAACTTGTGTTATGTACGGTTGTCTTTCAAATGACTGATAACCTTTGTATTCATTATAATATAAACTCTGACACACATTTATGCCCTAAAACCTAACACTTGCTGCCTTACCAAAGGTTAATCCATGGGATTCTGCTCAGGCCTGTGTCAGAAATGTGAGTAGTGTGAGTTATAATAATTTTAATCAATCTGCCTTGGTCGGGATAGCTGCTTCCTAAGGCGCCGAAAGCAGCAGTAAATCACAGAGAAGGCATGCAGTCCTTACCAACAGCTGTAACATAGCCAGTGTGATAAGGAAGGCTGCGGGTTCGCTGTGTGCAGAACATCTGGCTGGACCAAGGACGATGCACAAGAAATAAAAGGTCTGTCCCCTCAAGTGCTTATAGTTCAACTGTTTACACTATGCAGCATGTCAGCAAGCACCAGTGAAAGAGTAAGTGACCAGCTGACAAGGGGATCAGGAAAAACAAACTCGATGGCCAGGGGATCTGTCTGGGGTCAGGTCAGGTACATAACAAGGTGAGGGGACTGTCTTGCGTTCCTCTTGGGACCTCCAATTAAAGGGTCATGATCTTAAAGTGTTTCTGTCTTAGTACTTTTGTAGATGCAGTGACATTATAAGCATCTCAAAATCAAAGAGGTGTTTTAAGGCAAAAGAAAAAAGAAAAATCTTCTTAATGTTTTGTCAAGCAAAGTGACGAGACCTACTTACAAACTGCCTGAAAAATTAAAAGGAAGGTAATTTCAAGGTGAAGTTTAACTAGTTCTTTCCTGGTCTCTTCCTTTCAGAGATACGACCTGGCAACAAAGCACCCTGTGTTCTGTCACCATTCTGAAAATCCTTTTAGAACCCAAATCACTTCCATATCTCGATATGTATTCACCCTCAGCAACCATTACAGAGCAAAGTGATTCCACCTTCAGTTGTAATACTGAGAACCTGACATTTTGCATGTATTCCTTTTGGGTTGAGAAATCATTGAGTTTAATGTTGCTTCTTCAATTAGAAAATATGACTGCAGTGTTAGGAAAAAATCATATTCTATATTGGATGGTACTCACAGAATAAAATGATATTTGTTAGAAGTAAGGGAAGAAAGGAAAATGCCTTCTTAAGTGAGTATATTTTAAGTTAATAAGTAAAAAGTAATAAAGTGTACTAGACTTGCACAACTTTCTCTTTAGCAATGTCAAACAAGTATTTTAAAGGAGCAGGGCCAATCATTAGGCTCAAGTTCGCCACAATTCATCTCCCAGTAACAAGTACCAAGGTTCAACCTGTGTTTTTGGATGGCTGTGGCTTATTGTTGTATTGAATACTGATGTGGTAAAAAAGACCCTACTAGGGGGCATAATTCTCTCTTTGACATTTAGAGTCTGTTATAATAATGATGCTTGCTTCAACAGACATTGCTGGTGATAGAAACAAATCTTTACTTTTTATGAGATTTTCTAATGGCCTCTCTAGCTCTCATACCTTTTTTTCTTAATGTAATATTTATTTATTTTAATTTTTTTTACATCTTTATTGGAGTATAATTGCTTTACAATGGTGTGTTAGTTTCTGCTTTATAACAAAGTGAATCAGTTATACATATACATATGTTGCCATATCTCTTCCCTCTTGTGTCTCCCTCCCTCCCACCCTCCCTATCCCACCCCTCCAGGCAGTCACAAAGCACAGAGCTGATCTCCCTGTGCTATGCAGCTGCTTCCCACTAGCTATCTATTTTACGTTTGGTAGTGTATATATGTCCATGCCTCTCTCTCGCTTTGTCACAGCTTACCCTTCCCCCTCCCCATATCCTCAACTCCATTCTCTAGTAGGTCTGTGTCTTTATTCCTGTCTTACCCCTAGGTTCTTCATGACATTTTTTTTTCTTAAATTCCATATATATGTGTTAGCATATGGTATTTGTCTTTCTCTTTCTGACTTACTTCACTCTGTATGACATACTCTAGGTCTATCCACCTCATTACAAATAGCTCAATTTCGTTTCTTTTTATGGCTGAGTAATATTCCATTGTATATATGTGCCACATCTTCTTTATCCATTCATCCGATGATGGACACTTAGGTTGTTTCCATCTCCAGGCTATTGTAAATAGAGCTGCAATGAACATTTTGGTACATGACTCTTTTTGCATTATGGTTTTCTCAGGGTATATGCCCAGTAGTGGGATTGCTGGGTCGTATGGTAGTTCTATTTGTAGTTTTTTAAGGAACCTCCATACTGTTCTCCACAGTGGCTGTATCAATTTACATTCCCACCAACAGTGCAAGAGGGTTCCCTTTTCTCCACACCCGCTCCAGCATTTATTGTTTCTAGATTTTTTGATTATGTCTAGCTCTCATACCTTTAACGTAGTGAATTCATATGGCTGATAACCTTTGAAGCTCTCATGGATGGCTGCCATAGTGTGAGAAGTTTTCTCCCAAAAATGGAGCAGAGTGGTCTGTAAAGAAAGACAGTAAAGCTATTAGCATTTTAAATGCCCAGATCTAATCAGGGGTCCTAGAGAAAGAAGTGTGCCCATCTCTGGCTTTCAAAGTTGTTTTTTTTTAAAATATTTATTTATTTATTTATTTGGCTGTGCCGGGTCTTAGTTGCAGCATGCGAACTCTTAGTTGCAGCATGTGGGATCTTGTTCCCTGACCAGGGATCGAACCTGGGCCCCCTGAATTGGGAGCACGGAGCCTTAACAACTGGATTACCAGGGAAGTCCCCCTCAAGGTTTTCTGAAACACGATTTTTACTTATCTCTGCAGCCTTGTTTCCTACTATGCCCCTACTTACACCCTGTATTTCAGCCAAACTTAATGGCTCCCTGTCCCCCTACAGCTCATGCTGCTCCACCACCTGGGACATTCTCCTCTCCATTCTCTTTGTACTTGTCCCATCTGATCCATCCTCCAAAACCCAGGGCTAGTCATTAACCATGGACTTTTGTGATTCCCTCAATTGATTCCATTTCTCCCTCTTCAAGCCTCCATTGGATTTTGTAGATCTCATTTCACTTAGCACAGCCTGTTCTGCCCTTGAGGTAGAGAAAATATAGTCAGACGTTACTGTCTCTGACTTCCTTTCTAAATTTTAAGTTCCTTGAGGACAGGAAATCTGGTTTTATCCACTGTATATTCTCTACAACACCCAGAGTTTGCCTCCCACCCTCAGCTGGTGCTCAATAGTACCGTTGATGGATACGAGTGCCATTCTGAAGGAACTGACAGGCAACGAGGAGACAAAAGCAAGTTCATTAAATTATGGCAACCTGGTGAGGAAGTGCCCATGCCGTGAGAATTACAGCAACAATGCTAAGGGAGTTCAGAGGAGGCTTACTGAAGGAGGGGACACTCTGGTACCTCAGAGTGGAATTTGGAAAGGCACAAGTGGAGAGGGAGAGCACACAGGCAGAGGGAACCACCTAAATAAATGCAGGGAAGTGGGGAATTACAGTGTATATACAGGGAATAGCTAACATTTGGTTTGATTAACTGTAGGATGCTAAAAAAGAGAGATGTGGGAAGTAAATTATGAGAAAGGCAATCTGAACTTCATTATGCCCAAACCATACTTTGGGCTCAAACACCATTTTTCTGTTATCTAAACCTTGTAACATTCTTGGTCCGCTGCATCAAACATCACTTGGTTACCTGGTATGTTGCTAGCATATGAGACAAGAGATTGCATCTGCTCGCTCCCAGAAGATCCACTTTTTGACACACATCCATCTTCAATTTGTCAAAGCTTTTTTTGGCAAGGCGAACTTGTGTTTGCACCTATGAAAGTAAAAGAGAATCTCTGAACCACTCAAACTGTTTGGTTAAAATTTGTCAGTGAGAAAACACCAATAGCGGGATTAACTCTTTCACGTAAGAAAACACCTTTGAAAATTCCAGGCAAGTGAGAAGATGCTACAATATCCATTCTTTACTTCCAAAGGACCTAAACGACAGTACTGTATATCATGATTTTACAGCAGACTTACCATCCTAGTATTTTTCTCAGTCGAATGGTAGAACTCCTCTCCTCTCAAGGCATTCACAAACTGACCATAGTGGGAAGAAGTCTGGAAACACGCAGGGTGGTAAGGGGATAATATTTGCCTTACTGTTTTCCTATGGTTCTTTGAAGCTGAATTCCCCATGTACTCCTCACTCTCCTTCCCCTAATGTTAACATCTTACATAACATGATACATTTGTTAAAAATATGAAATTAACACTGATACAATCCTATTAACTAAACAACAGATGTTATTCAGATTTCACCAGCTTTTCCACTAATGTCCTTTCTTTCTGTTCCGAGATCCCATCTAGGAAATTGTGACACAGCCTAAAAAACTATCCCCACTGATAAACTTTCAACTTTTTATTATTGCATATGTACATCAGCAATCCTCCATCCATCCCTAAGCCGTGCAGTAATTCAGGGATGGAGGGAAGGTCAGGAAGATTCAGAAATGTTATTCTACATATTATTTGATGATAATACAGAAAGTTTTAAAATCTAATACAGCTACATTAAAAATAGTGGAATCAAAATTTCCCCTTCCTCTAACCTGAAGCATCACTATATCCTATTTTAACCAGGGAAAGGTAGTCACATATTAATTTATCTCAGATAATTCATGCAGTTGTAGTTACCAGGTAGGTAACTGGGAGTTGGGAATAATGCTGACTCATTAACGGTAGCTCTTTCATCACAGGATACCTCGGGTGGGTATCTCCGGGGACTCGAGGACAATGTCTACCTTGATCACCATTATATGATAGGCACCTGACGACCTGGTACAAAGCAGGTGCTGAATATATATTTGGTGACCGAATCAAGAAAATTTCCAGACCATTTCTAAAGGTAAAGTACCTGAGTACCATTTTAAAGTAGAACTTTTAAAGTAGTCTTAAAAGGGATAGTTTTATTTTTTAATAAAAATAAACATGAAGATTATTTGATTTAAAATGTATTAATTTTACCACTAATAATTTATATTCACAGCTTTTAAAATTATAGGGTATTATACAGTAACAGTAGCAATTGACACAATTGTTATCATTTGTAACAATTTAATAATCAAAACAATTCAACAATAGATATAATTCAAAATTAATATTATACAATCGATACAAGTGAACAATTAATACAATTCGCTCATCACATGCCAGCTTTATTCTCTGTTAGCCTCTGTTATTGCGCTCTGATGGCTGAGGGTACGAGGCTTCATCAGGGGAAGTAACTGACAGGCAGGGCTGGCATTCTAGATTAGCCTGCCTGACTCCAAAGCCACGCTCTTCTGCTGCCCCAAACGACTTCCACTAACCATTGCAAAAATCAAGAAGCTCCAAATCATGATTCTACCCAGAAGCACAAGGTTTCCTGTAGGCTTCTATGGAATTGGAAAATAATCAGGCAGTACATTTAATAGCATATCGACAGAGTTAATACCCTATATGAATAGGGTCTTGTTTCTGTAGCTGTGTAAAGCATTACCTAAGAATTCCTCTGTGTTCCTAGGTCTACAGAGCTTGGAAAACCAGCAAATGAAACCATCCAGCTCCTCTCAAAGCACACCGTGAGCTTAAATAAATCCCAGAACTCGATCATTCCTCACTGTGGAGTGGAGAGACTCTAGGGAAAGCTACTGGGGTGTGCGGACTATAAAAAGAGTTAGGATGTGTTAAGTATCAGTGATTTTCTGCCCTCCTTTGAGAGGAATAGGGATGATACAAAAGAGAAAACCCAAGTTCCTGAAGGGAGAAGTGGAAGAGTGTGGAGGGCAAGAAGTTTAAGCAGCTGGGAGTTTCACTGCAGATCCCCACTGGTTCACCAGTTGCTCGAGCCAGGAAGAACTCCTCAACTGGGATCCTGAGAAGCACCTGTCTTTACCCTTTCCTTCTGAAGGGGGAGGAGATAAATACACATGTGAGCTTTCATGTATGCATTCATTCAACACATGCTTAGTGAGCATTAGTGCCTATTATGTGTCAGGACCAGTGCTTGGCGCTGGGAGGTCTGTAAAGGAATGAGACACATAGCAGGCGGTCAATAAATACTTAAGAATGAATGCGCAGAGGCACAATGACCCCCTAGTCTTTTAGAGAAGACAGATAAGTTAGCAACTATATTATAATACAATGGGAAAAGTAAAACAACAGAACTAAGAGTGAAGACAGAGGTAGCACAGACAAGGGAATGATTAATGCTGGGGGTGGCATGGGCAGGGGTGTTGATCAATGGCATTAAAACCCCAAGTACAGGCTTTCTAGTATCCATACCCTTAGCCCTGTAACTTTGTAGTCTCCTCCCACTCTGACACTGGGCTTGGTATATGACTTGCTTTGGTCAATGGGCCAAATGTGATGAAACTGGAAGCTTGGGGAAAAAAATGCCAGCATGCTTACACTTTCTCCCTCCCTTATCTGGGACTGCCGTGAGAACATGCCCAGGTCAACCTGAGAATGTGCCTGGGCTGGCCAGTTGGAGAGGTGCTGAGGCTTGTGTATGCAAGAGACACGAGGAGGAGAGCCCAGTGGTCCCAGCAGATCAGCGTTTGGCAAGCTGATGCCCAGACATGTGAAGGAGGCCAGCCACGGTCAGCAGAGCCTCTTCCCTCCCCACAGCTCACGGGTGAGCCCAGCAGAGACCAGAACTGATGTGCGAACCCACAGACCTGTGAGCAATAAGAAATGCTTATTGTTTTAAGCCACTGAGTGTTACAGTTGCTTATTTCATAGCATTATTGGGGCCATATACATAACTGATATAAACGGTAAGTAAGGGGCAATGAAGGCTTCTGAGATGGCGGGATATCTGAGGTGAGTCTTAAGGCATGAATAGGAGTACATAGTAAATACAAGGTAGCCATGAGGCTGGCCTGCTTATGCGGAGGTTCTAGATTTTTCTAATTAAATACAAATTACTTTTCTGTGGGGATGTGAATTTTGCTTTTTCCTTTACATTAACATAATCAGTTACACACAGATATTCTTTTATCCTAGAAGAAAACTTATAGATATTCTTTTATCCTAAAAGAAAACTTAATTCCCTTGCTTATAACACAAAGCTCATGAATTAACATACATTGAAATGTGCCCTAATTTAATTTTGTTTGAATTTTGTAAAGTAATTTTAGAAACCTAGAAGACGAATTCAGCACTTGACCCAGTGAGTTCTGAAAGGCCATATGCTTTGTGTGTCAACAATGATTATTAAAATACTTAATGCACTGCTGAGTTGCCAAATGAGCCCTTTCCCTGCCAAACAAGGAGGATGTCACACTGTTGGGCATTTTGAATACGGCAAAGTTCATTTAATATTTTGTGTTCCATGTCTGTTCTCTAAAACACATTTCCAGTCTGCAGCCCGAGGACAAAACACCAAGGACACAGGCGAGCATAGGCCACCAACAAGAGTCTAATTTCATATGCTTCCAGATGCACTTAAGTAAAAAATGTTTTGATTATTACTCCTTTCAATCCCAAATAAATTATATTCAATTACAGAAACATCTTGAGGAGCTCCTGTAGTTTTCAAGGTTCTTTAAAAAAATCTTCAAATAAATGTATCTTTTTTTATTTCTTAATTTTACTCCTGTTGCCCCAGCTTTGTTCTCTTATTCTCCAAGCTCTAGGAAATGATCACATATATTTGACCCTCTTTAGCATGGGTCCTGCCTTCCCAACGCTGCAGAAATTCAATTTACCAGAGAAAGGAGTAATGTCTTGTGTGCCAAAACTACAGGGCACTTCTCTGTACTTACTCGTCATAACCTGAAATTCTACCTCTTAGCCCCAACTTGAATTACATATGATGAAGCCAAAGCCATTCGTACTCAGTACAATCTGGCTTCTCCATTCAGTGGGAAAAGTCTTCATATTACTACACAACCAAATAATTTGAGAGTAGCTTTGCATTATTTTCCTAGTGTTTTTTTTCCTTTAAAAGTAAAATAAAGCCACATCCCCCATCTTACTCTTACTTTTACATTGTCTTCTAGAAGATGGATTTGCCTCTCTCCCTCTATCCATTCACTTAGTAAATATATACTGAGTATCTTCCACATGCCGATAACAGTGAGCAAAATGGAGGCCTCATGATGACAGTCCAGTGGGCATTTTCATAGCAGTGAGGAAATAACTACAAACTGAGTGAGGTGATCAGAAGGAAAGCCACACAGTTCCATAAGAATGATTTACCAAGAAATCTGAACAAGAGTATGTTCTGGGAGGTGGTGCTCAAGCTCTCTTCTGAAGGACTGAGCATGGTTAATTGTGCAAGGAAGAGAGAGCTCCAGCAGGGGGAGGAGGATGTGCAAAGGCCCTGGGGTAGAGGGCAATAAGACAGGCCCCAGAAAACTAGTGCAGCTGGATTGCTGAGAGCAAACAGAAAGGTGGTGTGAGATGAGGCAAGAGAGGTGGGCTGGGGCATATCTCAGGGCCTTGGAGGTGTGCTCAGGATTTTAGTTTTTATCTTAGAAGCAGTGGAAAAACACTGGAGTCTTTGAAGCAAGGAAGAGATAGAACCCTATTTTCAGTTTGAAAAGATCACTCATTGCAGTGTGTGGATGGATTGGAGGGAGAAGAGAATAGATGAGGATATATCTAGAGTCAAGGGGAGAGATGATGGTAGCTTTAAACTTGGGTAGTGATGCTAGATATGGAAAAGAATGCTCTGACTGGAGAGATATTTAGTAGGTAAAACAGACTGGACCTGGTGAGGGGTTAGATGTTGGGGGTATAGAGGATGACTCCTATGTATCTGACCACTCCAAGCCCAGTATC